ACCTTCTTTAGGGTCAAGCATAAGCTTGTATTCCTTTTTACTAGTCCAGCAACCTTGTCTCCTACTACCCAAGGTTCCTGTACTAGGACTAGGTCGACTCCGCCTTCGTTCAGGCGAAGCAAAAGTGCTTTAATGTGGTGTAGGTTTATTTGTAGAAGCCTTATTGACATCTACAGCTGCTACCTCCACCACAGTGACTTCGGCCTCTTCTGTGTCGCAAAGGTTCACGTCCTCGATAGCCGATCCGAGCGCTCGGATCTCTCTGCTCAGCGACAAATCGGTAGCGTAGGCGACCTCCGGCCCACCAGGTGCCTCCCACTCCTCAGCAAGCACCTGCTCGGCTGGATTGCCGGCAGAGCTGCCAGTGGCGTTGGAGTCCCCCTTGTACACCTTAATGTGGATCGCACTAAACCCGAAGTTCAGCACTCCTTGAGCAGTCTCGATTGGAGCAACTGACTCCTTGCTTAGGACCAACGCCGCCTGGTTGACATCCCCTTCATGCTCCTTCACCTTTACGACTTTCCAGTCATTCGTGGGGAGGTGCGGGTTGCATTCTTGTAACATGCTGCTGCTGGAAGCCAAATCCTGGCTCGGGGCCTAGTGGGGACATCACACTAGTCTAGCGCGACGATGTTCGCCCCTTTCACCGAGCTTGCTCGTCGCCTGCTTGTACAAGTCGGCCGACCGCTGACTGTCGCAGGCCACCACCTTGACACTGCCCTGGTACCAGCCCGCGTCCATGCAGCAGGGCGAGGTGCCTGGCTTCTCCCGTACCATGCGCAGGCAAATTAGGGAAAGGTGGGACTTCACTGCCTTCCACTTGTTTCTGGGGATCCTGCCCTCCGGATTTTCCCTGTCAATTATGCCGAGTAAGACACGGTTCTTCGTGATTTCGGCGAACGAGACCGATGGCTGGATCTTAGATCTCATCGCCGATCGTCCGGGTAGTTCGAGGTATCGCTGCTGTTTTGCCTGAGTCCCTTCTTGAGTGGGCTTATCCCGCCCGTAGTTAGGAAGCACCTTCCTTGCCCACTCTACCTTTTTTAGCCATTCAGGCGAAGGTGCGGCAACGGTGCTCCTAGTATGAGAGCGCAGAGTCTGGGCGGCAGTCCGCCTTTCTGCGTATGTGTATTTGTTTGTTCCAGCGGGTGGCCCGAGCGCCTTGGCAGTGCCTACCGCTGCTTTAGGCGCAGATGCGCCCGAGGCGGAGGCGTTTGCGGCTGGCTTTCTGCCACCCGTTATCCCCAGTTTGGGATGCGGCCCTTTCGGGACCGTGCTGGTACGGATGGTGGAACCAGTGTTCGTCTTATCCATGGGTTTTTTAAGAGTACCCGTCTCTGTGTTTTTTGTTTTGTGTTTTCTGTTTTCTGTTTTGTCCCGATTGCGGAAAGTGGGCAGTCCGTGCTGGATGTTGAACAGGGGCCTGGAGCACACCGTTTGGCACGGTCCGTATTACACCGTAGTTCGGCCCGGAGTGAGATGTTGTTTGGGAGGGGAGATGGGTAGGTGTTGTGTTGGGAGTGGGTTTGTGTAAAGCAACTATTTAGAACAGATGAACAACTCGCATCGTCGGTATTGCTTCGTTGCAATATATGATTATTTGGATATGCTTTTTCCGTAGACAAAAACCTTTTTTTTTAATTACCCTGGTTTTTTAGCAAAACCGGGAGCTTTAAAATGCAATTAAAAGAAAACCATGGCTGACCGCCAAGTTCTTTTTGCATATAAGTTCTTAAGAAATCGCGGTCCACCGATGATATTTTTTCGCAAATTTTGGGGGGTGAGTCTCCTAATCTAGAGTATTACCTCAACTTGAAATTAAGGGGAATCTACCACGTTCGATGAGCTCGCTTCCTTCATAGCCTTTATGAAAGTGAATTTGGAGAATATAATCCAGTCATAACCCTTCTTCGACCTCGGATATTTCCCAAGGAAATCAATATACAGCTTCTGAAATGGCTGTTCCGTCTGGACTCTTTCTCCGACCCCGGCTTGCATCCTGAAATTAGGTGCCACCGACTCCTTGCAGTCGCATCCCCGCACGAACTCGCGGAAATGGATTACCATGCTTGGCCAGCGACCATGAGTCCGCCATGAGCTGCTTTCGCGTCCGTATGTGCACACTCAATTATGGTGTGGATCAGACTTTGCGGAATCCACAGTTTTGACTCGGCCCCTTCCACCTCCTCGCCAAGATTCGTCATGAGAGACTCTTTTGAAGAATAGACCATCCTCGATCTTCAAGTCCGGTAAGCTTGCCAAATTCTGCTCCACATTCTTCACTCCACCACTAGCTCTTCCACGCACCGCGATAGGGTGTCTGCCACGACATTCCCGCTTGCTTTTCGGTGTTCGATGTTGAAGTGGAATCCTTGAAGCTGTTGTCTCGGTTACGGTGTAGTTCACTTAATGTTTATTCTTCTCGCTGGAAAAGCACCGCCCGACTCCAATGTGTGACGCATCGCACTGAATGAATGATCACTGCTACTCGTCCTGGATCCATCCGTAGACGACCTCCATGAACGATACACCCAAGGAAGGTCAATGACTTGAAGCAAAACTTCGACTTAGCCATACCAATACTTAATCCCGCTGCTTCCAGGCATTCTGCGACTCGGCGAAGGTACTAGAGACGTGTCTGGATATCTGGAACCAGTATCAGCAGAACATCTAAACAGACGAAGACGTTGGAGCGGATCTCGGCTGGGATTACTCGGTCCATAAGTCTCACCAACCGCTGTGCCGCGTTGCAGAGTCCGAAAGGCATCATCCGAAATTGGTAGAGAGACCGACCAGGAACCGTAAAGGCCGTCAACTCCTTGCTTATCGGATCCAAAATCCACGCTGAAAATGTAGTATGTTTGGTCGATTCTGAAAAAAAATGCCATCGATACTAGGCAGAAGGTAAGCATCTTTAATGGCCAGATCGTACAATTTCCGGGCATCTAAGCAGAACCGATAATTTCCAGGTCTGGACACTACCGTCATCCGGATGCACTACGGGCTGTTACTCTCCTCGATAACTCCGACAGCCAACATCTTGTCCACCTCATCCTCCACCACCCTTTGCTTCGCGGGCGACATGGGATACGGGTGATCCTCAAAGACCTTGCCTCCTTCAATCAGCTCGATTGTGTGTTTTTCCAGGCTTGTCGTTCCCAACCCATCCTTCTCGAACGTGAGAAACGCCTCCTGGATCTCCTTGAGCTGTCGAGCGTCGGCCTCAGATAGCTCCCAGGATTCGGGACACGGCTTGTCCTCGACGTCATCCTCCTGCTCGGGATAATGCTCCATCCCCCTAGCGTGGACTTCGTAAGCCTTCTTCACGATTTCGGCATCGCCGTGGCCTATCACCGCCGGAGCCAAGCCAAACGCCTGCCAGAAGTTCACTCCAAAGTAGACTTTCTGTTCCAGGTAAGGACACACGTAAAACAGTATATTCAACAGGTAACTCGACTCGGCCTATGATCGAGCGATCGTCTCCGTACGCCGATCGGACCACGGAGAGGTTTTTTTGGACGGATCCAACGCCTCCACCAGCTCACGTCCTCCTTTTTCCAAAAGACTAACACTCCCTCCCGTGTCCAATAATCCCGTCAGCTGTTGGGTCAGGACTTCAGCGAATGGTCGATGGTCCTCCTTTGACTGCGCTTAACAGCGGCAACTACTTCTCGCTTCTTTGCTCGTCGTTTCCGGAATCGATCACTGGCCTTCTGGACTTTCCTGGACATGCCGCTCTACATTAAGAAAAATCGCCCTAAATATAGGAAAAATCGACATAGAAAATATGTTTTAGGGTCAATTTTTCTAAAATGCCAGTTATTTCTATTATTTAGGGCGACTTTAACCGAGCTTTTAATATTTTCTCATATTTAGGGCAAATCGCCTTATTTAGTAGAACAAAAAATCATCCAAAATCGCCTAGCGCGATGTGTCTGTGGTGCAGCGGTAGTGTTCTCGACTGCGGACCCAGCGGCCGTGAGTTCGACTCTCTCAGCGACCACGAAGGTTTTTCTCAAAAAGTAAGTTGTTTGATATCTATATTTACACTTCCCTGATTCTGTTTAATGATTCTAATTAGCAGGATTACCAACATGCGATGAGCCGCCGAATAATAACCTTGCCTTCTCCTCACCCTCTCAACTTAAAGTAAAAAAAGGACACTAAGTCAAATAATACTAAAAATATTCCTGGATAAAGTACCGCAGATAATGTTTGCCGAGAGCCAGTAAACATGTCCAAACACGATTTTTTATAAAAATTTGTTTTAATTTTTGGGCACTTGCCCTTGTTTTTAAGGCGCTTCACCATAATTTCAAGATAAAGCGCCGTTGATGCTTACAATTTTTTTTCATATGCTAGGGTATTTACCTTTGAAAATCGAAAAATCGCCCTAGATTTAGAAAAATTAACCCTAGATCTAAGAAAAATCGCCCTAAATATAAGACCTTATTAATCCTTTTTTTTTTCTTTCCTTTCCTTTTCAGATTCTAATCAGGGGAGATGAAACTAGCTACCCGCCGGTGGACTCCGTGTCGAAAAATTCACTAAGCTTTTTTTTCGACATCTGTTCCTACTCAGCCGCTCGTTAACTGGACTGTCTATCGACGACTCAGGTTGATAGTCGCCAGTTAAAGACATCGGCCGCTTATTGAGTCCTGGAGGATTTGCTTTCGCGCGTGTTTTAATTCCCAGTTCGTGTTGACCGTGCAGCGCGAATCCTACCCGGGTCACGATCACACATTTAAGCTTAGCACCGTGGTGAAAAATCAAACACACCCACGAAACCAAAACAAAGGATCAACACCTGCGGGTCCAAATCTTCTCCGTTCTGGGCCAAGATGCCACCCGCAGGACACCCGGCATTTGCGGTCTGTGACCCGGAGCTATTTGCCTCCCCTCATTCTTACTATCCCTAGAACAACCACATACGATGCAGATGCACGCAACTTTCCATTTCCCTGCAAGCCATCGGTGGAGGGGGCTGCAATAAGGGGGAAAAAAAAGGAATATCGCGAGACGCCATCGTCTCGACATTTTATTTTCTTTTTAACTTGGGCGCCATAATGTTACGGAATTGTCAGGGCGGAGTACCCCCAATGTCCCAACAGTTCCCCAACATTGATATCGATAACTCACGTCTCACGATACTAACGATAACACACATCTCTAACAACAAAAAGGTAAACAAAAACAAATTTAATGAAATTTGGACAAAATTACGAAAAAGTGGTATTAGATATTGTTACAACAATACTCCCACCCTTTCATTAGTGCCCCGAGGGACGTCTTGGAGGCACCACCCATACGACCGCTTCATCTCCAACTCAACACATTTCGGGTTTTACAGACAATTAATTAACACGGTAAGTATAATTATTTATATTTGTACTCATATTAACCGATTTATCTATCTTTAGCCTTCAAGACCAAAACTTTGCCGCCGTCTTCAATTTTACGCGGTCAAAGCGGAGAACACGTTCCCCACTGGAAAAGGCTAAAGGCGCGGCGAATAAAATTTTGTACCATTCATGCATTGGTAGAGCTCGTATAACACAACAAGGGATGCGATGCGCGAATGTCGGGTCACCTAATCCTGAGGAGCTCCAGGGGAAAAGCAGGGACAGGCTGTTAACTATTTATTTATTTATTTATTTCGAGAACGTACAATATTTTGAGAACCTACAATAACGACCTTTCTTACAGGCTAAAGACGAGAACAACTAAGGCTCTCGGATCTAATTCCGGATAAATTTACATTATAAAGCCATGGATTTAACATATAATTAACGATTTCAAATTTCAGCTGGGACATAGACTTCTCCGTCGGAGGCCAGTTATAATTACTAAATTTAATTCGAAGTTCTTAAAAATACCAAAAAATTATATTCCAAATAGTATAAGATAATATGTCAAAAAACACCGAAGCTATAATTTGTTTCATATTATTTTCCCACCATTTTTCCGATCGTTCATATGGCAGCTATATGATATAGTCGTCCGATTTTATAAAATTTAATTCGAATTTCCGAACTAATTAAAAAATGTTATTTCCAAGCGTAGAAGGTATATGTTAAAATACACCAAAGATATAATTTTGTAACATTTTTTTTTTCGATTATTCCTATGAGAGCTTTAAGATATAGTTGCCTGATCCTTCTGGTTCCGACTTATATACTACCTGCAAAAGAAAGAAGACGTTTGGGAAAGTTTCAGCCCGATAGCTTCAAAACTGAGAGACTAGTTTGCGTAGAAACGGACGGACAGACGGACATTGATAGGTCGACTCGCTGAAATAGATGAAGTCCCAAGAACGAAGGATAAGCAAAAAGACGATGGTACTTTGTGGTTTTTGCGTGACGTGCATAGGTGTTTATTGGTACACTTTGGAATAAGAATAGTTAAGCCTAACTTAACTTAAGCGCTCCAGAGCGAAGCTGAGACTTAGGGGAGAAATGGAGAGCGGACGGCAGTGCGAGCGCGCGAGATGTAGCCATCTGGATAAAACTGCCGCTCGACACTGCCTCCTGAAATTAAACGCCCTTTTGACGTAAACATTCTCGGAATATTAGGACCGCTGTTTCGATTCAGCAATGTGTGAAGCCGATCTTGGCAAGTAACACAGTTGTGAGCGCTTGTGCAATCCCTGAATTGATGGCTGCTTGCAAAGCAATTGTAGCACAACTGCTTCCTTTGAGTAAACTAGGCGATCGTCTACCGTCATTTGTAGGAAGCGTGGACATATACGCACGGGGTGGTTCTTCTTCGAACACAGATCGCAGCCTTTGGGTATCGGAACTAGCCTTGTGTTGAAAGAATTTATTTTTAGAAATTCTGCCACTCGATTTGAGTCTTTGGACTGGACGTGGTGGAAATTGGCAGATCGAAAGCTATCGACAGCCTCAAGGGTTCGATGACGCTCCGTCAAATAGGCATCAAGCTCAAGCCTCGTAGGAATTTCGGCTTTGTTTGGATGGATTGCTTCCATAATGAGGGCGTGAGCTTTGATAGTTTTGTCGAGCACATATAAACCAGGATAGGGTCTCAATTCTCAATATTAACACCGGAAAACTTTAAGAAAAATAAGCAACCTTGAAAAGAGCGTTGAATTTATTTATGGGATTTATTTAAATAGCTAGATCCCCCTATGGCCAACAATAGGGGGCGCCCCCGCCACTGGGGTAACCCTGCCTACGCTATCGGACAACTAAGGCTCTCGGGTCTAATTCCGGATAAATTTACAATTAACAAGAAAGAAAGTTAACTTCAGCAATCCGAAGTTTGTATACCCTTGCAGTTAAAAGTTTTACATTTAATTTGAAGTTCTTAAAAATACCAAAAATTATATTCTGACCGAAGCTATAATTCGTTTCATATTATTTTCCCACCTATTTTCCGATCGTTAAATCGAAAAATGTTATCGATAATCTGTATGTCCCAATATCGGTTTACTTCCAGCCGGTTCCAACTTATAATGCAACTTTTTAAGAAATCTGATCGTGGTGCACGGCGGTAAAAGAGTCGTATTTAGTTTATGTACCTGGTTGGTCCTGCGTGATGTTTCGTGTTTTCCCAGGCAAGCTCACTTCTCAGTTCTATCCTAATTCTACCGTAAGAGCTCTCAAGGCGGGCACTTCTTTATACGAATATAGATATTTTAAGAAATTTCAGGGCAATATCAATGGTACTGACATAAACGATTTATATAGGTGCACATTACTCGGCGTGTAAATATGAATGTAGATAATATATATACATGTAGATAATATATATACATGTAGATAATATATATACATGTAGATAATATAAGTAAATTATCAAAAACATGGGTTGGTGAATTAATAAATAAATTGGGATAAATAAATAGAACAAATAAACGAATAAATTAAAGAATAAGATGAATATGTTGGTCAGGGGAATAATTACGCCAGACATGTGCCAGTAATTGTAGTCCTCTAAACGGACAGTATAGGGCCTCACTCCTGGATATTTCCTGCACCGGCTTCCCAGCGGATCCTCAAAAAAAATGTTTTTTTTATTTTAATACAAATATGTTCTTATATTCCTTCCACTAGCGCGCTGCTGCCGCTCGACTTAAATTTTAACAGATTTTAAAAAAGAATATCATCAGCCTCTACACTTTACAAAATTATGCAATTTCTGCGCGTGCACCGCGAGACTTAAAAAATTTTCTTTTGAGCGCAGCAGCTATAACGCCTTTGACTCTTATCGGCCTTTTCCCACCGAAATAAAATTCTGGTGACCGGGCCAAATCAGACCATATTTTTTGGTATTTAGGCAACTTTGTGTTCTGCCAGAAATCGCTATCGATAAGCGTGTGACCACCCTGTGCCCAGATTCGATATCGCTATCGATAGGCCGGCTCCAACATATGGCTTTGGGAAAGCTAAAAACTGAACCGTTAATGGCCCACACGAGGAAATATCGATTCGGTAACCAACTTGGATTTGGCATTTTTGACCGTCTAAAGAGTTTTTGGGTTTAATTTTTTTGCTACAAAACGTCGATTGTGGTTTTGTTAATAAATAGATATAACACAATTAAGTATTAAACAGGCAACCTTCTAATGATTAAATAATAATGCAAACTTAGATTGTATGAACCGCACGCTCTCAGCGCCAGAACAGAAGTGAACAAGAATATAGAGAGAGCAAAAGAACGATGAGAAGAAGAAGCACGATGTTCCCGTTACTTTTAGCGGTTTCCTTTAGTCCAGCGGTCGGCAGCGGCCTATTAAGTGAGCATAGGAAAGTGTTCTGCCCATCCTCTGCTCGCTCACCTATAACGTAGATGTACGTGTGACTTCCGCATGGGTCTTCTTTTTCTTCTTCGCATTCGGATCGCGGAAGTGACTACCGTCGGGAAGAAATGTGCCACTTCGGCGGCACTTCTCGGAGTCACTTCGGCGACAATTCCAGGAGTGACTTCGGCGACACTTCCAGAAGTAACGCAGAAGTGACTTCGAGAAGTATCGCCGAAGTGGCACATTTCTTCCCGAAGAGAGTCACTTCCGCGATCCGAATGCGATATCGCGGACGATCGTTTTTATCTTCTAGAAGTCACTTAATAGTGCCTTCCGCGATAAAAAATGCTTGCAGGGATACTTCTCGTACACATACATTCATGCAAGGAGTACTAACTGATTTACAATCTTCCATATTACATTTTTTCAATATATTTTTAATATATGCTGTCTGACTGAAACAAATCTCTCCATTAGTTCTGTCAGTTTTTATGCCAATAAAGTGTCTTATTTCACGTAAATCGGTCATTTGAAACTTGTCATGAAGGTAAGATTTAAAATTGGACATTGTACCAGATTTGTTTGTAGCAGTTACTACACCATCCACATATAACAAGATATATATATTTCTCGAAATATCTCCCTTATCCAAAATATAAATACACCGATCAACTCTTAAGTTTTCAAATCCAACATCCTTCAACACACTTTCAAAAACTTTGAACCAACATCTCATATTCTTGAGTAAAGCCCGCGCTAGATGTCTTGCTTTGTACTTTATTAAGTTCCCAAACTCATCTTGTTTTATACTAAATACCCATCTGCAATCAACAACGTTTTTATTTTCTGGCTTATGCACTAAGGACCAAGTACACCTATCCCTCGCTTTGCGTCGTTTCGTTTTGCGTTTTTTCGAAGTTGCGTCGCTTCTTAATTAGAACTAATTTTCATTGTGCGTCGTTAGATTTTCGATGTTGCGTTGTTTTGGGATGAAGCGTTAATATAATTTAAAAAAAAAATGTTTAGCAAACATTGGACCAATTTTTTTTAAAGAAAGCCGGCCTACGACAGCAGGCACTAAAGACTCGTCAGATACTGTGTTAATGCGATGCCGAATTCACGCTTTAATTTCGCGATTTCAACCGATTCGTGTGTGCATAAACGCAATTTCGTGAATTCGGCAACGCACGAAAGTTGACTATGAATTCAACCTGAAAGCGTGAAATGGTCACAATTAAACTCCGGTAACTCTATATAATTATCGGAGTTTCCAGATCGATATAAATACATAAATACACCTTACTTTTAACAAATTATATTTAATTCAGTGCCAATGGAAACTAGTTTTTATCTTTTATTTTGTTGGTAGAAAAAATGTTTTACAAGCTTGCACACACTTTATCTTTAATACCAGCAAGATTAGTTCATGTGAATCGAAAAAAATAATCGGTTTAATAATCGCTAACACCTTTTTCTACCGGTCCGGCATCTCTGTCAGCTGAGATTGATAAAATGCATGAATTCGGCCGCGTCGCATAAACAGGAGCAAATTTTATTTCACGCTTTCAAGAAATCATGAAACCCTTAGCATAAACATAGTAAGAGAGTGATTAATTCTAATTTTTTTTCTAATTTATTTTGTTTTAAATGAATTAGTTTCTTTGTGTTTTTATATGTATAATATGTAATAAAATGAAATGTTATTTTTGTTTTTTTAATGATCACTTTGCTCAATTTTCTTTTTAAAAAGTAGAATTTTTGTAACCCTGGGACCCATCTTCGAACTTTACATGGTTTGCTATAGAAAATCCTAATTCACTTTGCGTCGTTTCAATTTGCGTCGTATTTTTTTGGAACGTATCCCCGACGCAAAGCGAGGGATAGGTGTATTATATTGTAAATGAGAATTAAGTTCATCTTGTATCACAAAACTTAGTTTCATCAAAGGTATTAGGAATATCATTTAAGCATATTTGAGTATTCATAAGACCTCTTTCTAATAATCGATATGATAATTTGGCTTTACTTTTAATTCTAACACTGCGTCTGATTTCTTCTTCAGTTTTATTTTCTTTTAATTCATCACCAGTTTCAACGACTGGATCG